TATATATATATATTATATGTGCTGCCAGGGTAGGATTCCATTTGCAAGCAAATGATATATAAGGAATATATGACAGCGTAAGGCAATGGTGCAACGGGTTAAGTAGGAGTCCACTAAGTTAAAAATGGATTGACAACTTCACATAGATTGGTGAGCTATCTGCGCACATGGTACATCGTCTGCTGGTCACCCAGTCGTGAGATTCGCGCGGAGTTCCCAAATGGGGCGCACTGACATATCAGGCACCCGCGTGGGACTAAGTCGCCGTTGATCCCACACACAACGGTAACCGAATCGTTTGCTTCAGCTGTTTTGTGCTTAGACTGGATGTCCTAATCGGACGAGCGGGACTTGACTTATCGTTACTGCTTTGGGGTCTGTGTTGTCTCCCAAGATTCGGAATCAGTTCACTGTCTAACGGTCGTCTGTGTTGCGAACTGACCTCTGACCTGATGGCTGTTCTGACAAAGTCTGGATTACGTAGCCCAGACCATGTTTGCCACATGTTCCGCTATCTTGACCAAATAAGCGCCTCTGTAGATGCTGGAGTTAGGTTAGACACTTCTGACTCAACTTTGTGCAGAATTGAATGGTGGGTGGGAAGATTGAACAATATCGGGAATTTTCCCACATGTCTCATCATCCCGTCCGTTGCTCACTACCATGTCCAGAACATCAGTTAAAGTATGGGAGGTAAAACCGTGATCGATCAGCTGCTGTTATTCTCGTTAGGATCATCGAAAGTCGCACACGCTGATGGCTTCGTCGACGTAGACAGGCCTTTAGATTATGCTGTTTACATTTTCTCATCAGGTACGGTAACACATCCTCGATGTTTACAACAGACACTTTCTCAGCTCGAAAATCGTCGAAAGGGATGCACTGTTCGCAGCAGATCTTCGTCGCGCACCTTACATGTGCTTCGTGGATTACCCTGATGAGATATAGCTAACGGCTGAAAACAGGAGTTCAAGGTGACGAAATTAGTCGCATACATTCATCTGCAAACCAGTTTGGTTTTGACAGGAGACTCACCTGGATCGACTGGATGTGCTACACCAGGTCGACTCATGTTTCGAGATAACGCAATAGTCGTAATACATAACGTGAGCCGTCGAAGAGTTCTGGACAACTTTATGACGAAATTAGTGTTGTCAGATCCTACTCATTTTTCTCGTTTGAATGTTTATAGCTTCAGGATGAAAGTAGATTTAAGGTGAACCTCTTGAAAGTTTAGCATACCCTTTTGGACAGGATCAAAATCCAGCCAAAAATAACCGTAGTTAGTTAGACATCATTGGACTTTATTGCACGAATTCTCTATCACAGAATGTATAATGCACAATACATCTGAAGTGAGGCCGAAATTGGTTTGCGCGCATGTAGCTTCAACAGGGGAGTCATGAATCAGGCAGAATTAAGAACATTGCTTGCAGTTACGTGTGTCGGTCCCTTGTGAATCCCAAATCGCTCACTCACCCACTACGGTGATCTCGCAGAACAAGGTTAGCTGTCTGGTGTCTTTCAAAGTTCTGTTCTCTTATAAACACTGCGCTTTGACGTACGTCATTGATTTCCTTTCCGGCTTCTACCACGAATATGTGAGCTGAACTTTCTCCAGGGTTAAATCCGGATTATCAGTCACCATTATCAACCCACTGATTGTTTTAACATCCAGTCCTACAACGCTTGCGACAGCCTTGGAACTCGGAAGCTTATTCAGCTGCTATTGAACTATGATGAGTTGGGTCCAACAATAACTATTCGTTTTTTTCTCTGGCGTATTCCCCTCGCTAGTATGACGTAACCCATACCCGCTGGACTGCACTCCACCAAGTCATGGGCAGGTGGAACGATTCGTTGCGTGTGCCTTAGAGGTTACGCCAGAAATCACCAACTCCAGGGTTTTCTCAAAGGTTTTTTGTGGGGTACCGAGCGACGCCGAGTCCAAGTTCACCAGAGGGAGTCACCAGCAGTATCACAATTCGCATGAATGAGGCTCTTGCCTCCGCATCGTAAACCCAAGCTGAACCGATTTTTCTCTGACATTAGACGACTGACTACAGATAGCGATGTTCCATGTTAGTGCATGTATGAGCAGTGGAGTTACGATGACAATGAGACTGCACAACTACAGATGAGTTGCAGCCAGTAACAAAAAGGCTCATTTGAAAACTTGTGGTCAAATGTTACTACACTGCCGGGGTTCACGACGCAGGGAACGCGCCTCCACAGGCGAACTTTTTTAATGTGAGTTTCCTCACGAAAGCAGAATACGGAAAACTGCTTATGAGTGTTGTGTATCTTTACATCGTGCAGTACCCCGAATTCCACTGCATGCTTGCCTGCATTAATTGCAGCAACAACAATTGGAAAATCTGGAAAGCTGACGGATTTCCTGCTGGACAGGTTACATCTAAAAAGCACGGTTTCGGAACAGATTTGAGGCCACTTCGGTATTCGTTTTCTTCCGTTAAATATAGGGCTTAGTTGATTGCGCAGGTGTTCCGGCCCCAAACTACGATATTTTTTCTTCGGATTACACTACCTGTTATCAGTGCCGAAATTACTTATTGCCCTTATTATACAAGTACCTGTGTCGGCACCACGTTTTTCCATAGCTGTTAGCGATATGTCCACTTAGTGCCGCTTGGTTTCAAACCCAAAACCACACACCTGAATGGTACATTCAAAAATCCGTCATTCGGCAGCAGGGGGCCCTTTGCCCGACCAAAGTCAAGTATCATTGGCCACTTCCGTTAAGATATTTGAAGCCTGGATATCGGAGGACTCATTAGCGACCTGTTTATGTTCAGCCGAAATTTTGTCTCGACGTAACACACTTCTCTTAGAGTTGCTGAAAACCATCACAAAGGAGACATTCAGCTGGATTCAATTGAGTCTCCCGTGAAAACCAAATTAGTGTGTGAATGAGAATGCTTGGCAAAGATCTTGTCTTTCCGAGTGACAACAAGTTGCACAGCTTCCTTTGGTGTCGGTTCCTTAACGGAGGTGGAATCTCTAACATAACCTAGATCATAACCAACTAAGAGCTGTTTAATCGTATGTTGGTTTTCAGCTATCTACTCTCAGGGCTCCTGTTTTTTAAAAGAAATTTCCTTGCTCTCATTCAATCTGGGCACACACTGTTGGAACAGTTGATTGACCCAAACGAGAACTGTAACTAAAATGTAGTTCGCATGTGCGATGCATCATGGTCATTTTTGCATGTTGTTTTTTGACTAGTAATCAAGTGAGGGATGGTCAAGTAGCCAAGTGATTTTCGCTGCCTATGGTTCACATTGACGGATGAACTGTGCTCACTCAGTCACGTATCGGTAGCCTAATCACTTGGTTGAAAATCATCAGCAGTGCGCATCTCATGAAACTCAGAGTTTGGAACCCGCGACCTTCCGGCTAGTGGTTGGCCACGAGCAGCTGATCAGCAGTCTGATTAGCCCTCAGTCATCAATTAATCAAGGGATTCACATCAAGCTATTACACATTTTGGCTGCGTACTCGTGTGACCACTTCTCAGTAGGTTTCACTTTTTCATTTACTTCCTCGAATGAAGAATGAGTGTCGCTGTCTTGTCTAAGTAAGGGATAATCACACTACTGATAAGCCGCGTGTGGATGGAAAGTTAAGCGTTCAATCACTGACCGGGAGGTCGAGGGTTCGGAACTCTGGGTTTCGTTATGTGCGCACTGCTGATGATTCCCAACAAGGATGAAACGGCTGTACAGTGCTGCTCGACTTTTCACCATAGGATAAAATTTCTATTGGAAGTCGTCAAATCTCCTCACTACCATCAACTACCAATCACTTCATTTTGAATTAGTGTCCTGTTTTTTCTTCCTTTAGGACAAATCACCGCTGCTGGCCGCATTCCTCCCGCGAAGGTGCTTGTTATCGGTGGTGGCGTCGCCGGCTTGTCAGCTGTGAGCACAGCACGCGGTCTGGGTGCTGTCGTGCGCGCCTTTGACACACGTGAAGCTGTCCGTGAACAGGTCGAATCACTTGGTGCAGAGTTCCTCACGGTCAATGTCAAGGTATCTATGGTTTATTTCTTAGCTGCCACTGAGAGAGAGACAATGCATCCACCGTATTACGCAACCCTTTTCAACACGTCCTCGTGTGCAGTACGAGTTTATTTGAATGTTCCCATCACAATGAAAAAGGTGTGCTTCATCGGAGACCTTTTCGATCACTCATTCGCATAACTAAAAGCGAGAGTCTAGTCTAAGTAATAACCAACCTCAAACGACTTCCATCTGAAAGGTGTACAAATCAGTCTGTCAATCCCCGTTTCAGTCTTACTTCTCCATATTCACCGTAATAAGTAATCTGTACATAGCTGTTGATTCCACTAAATTGTTTGGTACTTATACAACAAACGAATTTTCCTATCGATTTTCCGTGACTGAAATATAGCCACATGTGGCTTAGCAAGCTTACTTGAGCGAAGTAATGATTTTACGCTGTATTCAAGTTATCTTCGTTTTCATTGTGTTATATATTACTGCCAATGACAGTTTCGAACACCTGTTCAGTTCCTCATAACCAGCCTGTTCTACAGATTCCTTTCCAAATGATATCAATGAGCTAGAATGGTTCCCTTTAGTTGCTTTAGCCGGTCTCTTGTTCCTCCCTACTTGAGACAACCTGTACGATTTTTTCCTCGTATCACACCGGGTCTCACTGCTTTTACTCAGGAATCTGGTGAAGGTGTAGGTGGCTACGCAAAGGAGATGTCTAAGGAATTTTTGGATGCCGAAATGGAACTCTTTGCCAAGCAAGCCAAGGAAGTCGATATCATTGTCACCAGTGCTCTGATTCCTGGCAAACCGGCGCCGAAACTGATTACCAAGGTGAGTTCTTCTCTGATGGTTGCTCAATTGTGCTTCCTTAAGGTATCAAGGATGTTACTAGGTATGCTACCACCTGAATTTATCGTAGACCCCATGCCAGCACTGGTAGCGTCAATTCCTCCGAGTGTATCCGAATTTGTTTGGATTTCCGGTATCGTAGATCATTTGACCATAAACATCAGCTACCGGTTATAGCGCACCAGTGGTCCACGACATATCTGCGTAGCATTGTGCCTCAGTGGTTAGAGCGTGAATTTACTGACCAGAATGTCTGGTTCGAACCCGACCTCTGCGTCTCGACTTCCCCTGTCTAGGTTTGGGCAACCTGGCAGTGTTCCAGCCCTCGTGCTTCCTTGGGGTAGCGTAGCAGTTAGGCACTGAAAGGGTGCTACAGCTGAATGAGATCACTCCTCACCCATCCAAATTAAAGGCGTAGAATAATACTCATACCAGTAACTATACTTTATTTGAGCGTAATTATTCTGGGAAATTGGGATGAGACGATTGCATTCCTCTCCATTCTCTCCGTTGGTGTTTTAGAGCGTTTAGTATCGACCTACTCTCATTAGGTCCCATCTGTTTTGGGAGAACTCCAAGAAAACACTCATGAAAAGAGGTTTGTGTATGTTTTTCTTTATCACCTTAACTCACCCTTTTCATTGTTCCAGGCTATGGTAGAGTCTATGCGCCCCGGTTCGGTTATTGTGGATTTGGCAGCGGAGGCTGGAGGGAACGTGGAGACCACTAAACCTGGCACGTTATCCTACCACAATGGAGTGGCTCATGTGGGCTATACCGATCTGCCCAGTCGCCTGGCAGGCCAGTCATCCTCGTTATTCTCCAACAATGTGGTCAACTTCCTTCTGTCAATGACCCCCCCAGGTACATTTGGACTGATACTTGGCCGTGTTGTTCCTTCGTGGTGGAAAAACCAGGTGTTCGCTGTGCTGTTGTGCGATGGCCCTCATTAGTTGTGTTTGACCAGTTCTAATACTCCACCCAAGTTGTTACAATTAGTTCATATCAAATAGTACGGCCTCTGCCTCAGTCATGAGTGCACACGCAGGATGACGACCACTACCCGATTTCCATCTTCAGCTCGAGAGCTCGAAATAGCGCATTGGTTTAAGTCCGTGATTCGAACCCAAACCCGACATCTCGACTGCGTAACCGGGCAGTGTCCCAGCCCTCGTGGTTCCTTCTGGTGGCATGGCAACTAGGCACTGAATAGGTGTTTCAGCCGAGGTTTTGTACTTTTTTATGATGTTGGCGCCCTGGTACAGTTGTGTGTGTGTGATCGGGGACCTGTTAACATGAATTCCACCTTTCTTGAAGCCTAAATGCAAGGGTCGGACAAAAGGGGATCTCTTTCGCATGGTTCTTTAACTTATATAAAAGCTTCACTGGACCAGGCAAGCTTGATCTCGTCTGAGGTTACCATTCCAGAATGCACCAACTGTATCTGCAAGGAGTTCACATCACTAACCACAGCACACTAGTACGTAACACTCTCCAATGCATACTATTCCGTTACACCCTTGTTATGTTATATTGAAGAGATTATTTCCCAGGTTCCACGATAGTTAACATCTCAGTGGCACAGTTTTTTTGTTTCTCTGACCACTTTTGACATCCGTAAATTTCAGCGCTGAAAAAGTTACCTCTCAGAGTGGACCAGCCCTAGTTGATGTTTTCTGGTAGTTCCTACACAGAGGTTCAATTGTATCCTAATGAGCTTGTTCTCTGGGGTAGAAGCAAGTCATTCAAACCTCTTAATGTGTTGACTAAACATACTCCAGTGCATTTACAAAGTTGAACGATTCCATGTTCCTGTGAAATTTGGAGATCTTAGGTGATGCAGGGGACTTCTTTGTAGTACAGGTCATTTTGATCGACCCACACAGGTAGTTTGAGTAGAACACTTTTTTATTCTCAATAAAAACAGGCCTCTAGTGAACTTTACATCAGTTTCAACTTGCAACCCGTTGTATTTGCTGTTGTTGTTCCTTTCGTTCCTCTTGGACCCTTCACTGCTATCCATCACTTAAGTTTTTATTCCATTATGCTTGGGCATAAGCAGTCGAAGCATGGTACGATGGCGAAACGCCTAATAAAGGTATTTATAAGTGAGTGGATTCCAGTTCGAAGTAACTCATAACCACTTTTAACCGGATGTTTCCGCCTACGTTTAGAAACTAAGAAAATCGCATTTCACTGATCTGCGAGATGTGCCTCGTTAGACCTTCCCCAATGCAACCAAAAACCTGAAACAATTTGCAACACAGAAACAAAATCGCGTCCTTAATCTTGTTCCTTTGGTTTCGAATGCCTCCAGCTATTGTTCTCAGTCGGCTTTTGATTCTCTTCCATTAACTTCTCCATTGAACTCCTGCAAATAACCTATTTCCTTAACGTTTTCAGGTTCAAAAGACCGCTTCTACTTAAATCTGGAAGATGAAGTTATTCGGGGAAGTCTTGTTTTACATGAGGTTAGTTTGCAAATTTTCATGGCCCGAAATCCGGTTTAGCTCTGTTCAGTGTGGACACTCACCTCGTCGAATTCGACATCGAGGAAAGCGAATCCATGTTTCAAAACATGTTCTGTGAAAAAAACCTACAACACCTATCATTCTCGTGTACACATAACTTTTGATCTTGTGCGATGGAGACCTGTAATATGTCTACTCTTGTAGTTGATTTTCACGCCAGGCCTTATGTGTAGGGGCGATATGGTCCAAGTGGTTAGAGCGCGAATTTACTGACCGGAAGGTCCGTGGTTCGAACCTGACCTCTACCCTTCGACTTCCCCTGTCTAGGCTTGGGCCGTCCTCGTGCTTCCTTCTGGTGGCATGGCAGTTAGGCACCGAAAGGGTTACAGCTGAACCATTTTTTTATTTCCTTATATGTATTGTCAGTCGCAGAGACCGACGAAAGCACATTACTCCTTCGTTCATCAACAGGGTAAATTGATCTGGCCTCCACCTGCACCACCGACACCACCTGCACCGGTACAACCGGTCAGTCCGAAATCGGCCACTGCTGTGCCGGTCCAGGAAGCTGCAACTCCAGCAAGTCTCTTTCAATCCAAGCTTCGAAGTACCGTCAGCACGGCCGTTGGTTTGTCCGGTCTAGTTGGCCTCGGATTGGCTTCGCCGTCACCTGCATTTACCACAATGTTGACGACATTCGGTTTGGCTGGAATTGTTGGTGAGTGGAATTTCTTTTATCCGCGCATCCGTGCCTCATTTTCACTTCCATACGCAATGAGCAGCAACAGTCGATTTCACCGGGTTTTGTGGTGAATGAGTTAGTTCAGTTAAAAGCTTGTGTTTCGGTATCTCGTTTCCCGAGTCGGAGTATTTTCGCCAAGGCTTTGGAAGCCAGGCATGTCAATCTGTGTGCATCCTCCGATGTATTATATGCAATCCCAGGACATTGCTTACTCGGAGATAGGAATAGATTCGCACTTGAATATTTCGTTTAGAAGGTTTATTCGGTGAGGCTAATTTCTACTCGACTTGCATCAGTAGTCTCTTTAGTCACAGCCACCATGCCGTTACTTTTCACTGTACGTTTCTCGTTCGGTCTTCGGGCGCCGCTGTCGAATGACTACTCGTATGCCCTTAGCCTACAACGGTTCATCTGTGCGGGAAATCATCGGCACCAAAAACCCACCTGAGAACACCAAAGGATGAGCGTGGTCGTTTCTGCTACAGTATGTTTATTCTTTCCTTACTTTTCCGCAGAGAAATTGCCTGCTTCAGAGCTCATAGTTGCACATTGGTTTACATACGAGCTCCTGACGTAAATACTCGATCACCCCTTTAACACAGACAAAGTGGTTATATCAGGCCACGTGGTCCCTACGCGTCCCACTGCAGCAGTGTGCCATAAGGCCGCCAAAGCTGATCGGTTTGGTTTCCGGACTGAACAATGTAATCCCGATTATGCTGGGTTTCTGGGCACAACTGCGTAAACCAGCAATAAGGTAGTATGGGTAACCGCTGAATGCGTTTGGCTTTTCAGGTAGTTAACTGGACTCAGTTCGATTGCCAAAAGATGATGACGTAACGCGCCACATGGGTACATCATATCTCATAGCCTTTGAATTAAAATTTGCGTAAACAGACCATTCGCGTCGGCGTTGTCAATCAAATTATTGCTATTCGAAGGGGTCCTTTTGACAAATTTCAAAAAAAAGCATCCCGAGAATAATTGTAGATACAAGAAAGTGTAGGTGCTATGCTGGATGACAGTTCACCCTTTGAAAACGAGAAAAGACTATACCATTGCATACATCATATCACTCAGAGCACGATATGTACCACGAAAATGCCCATCTACGTTATCTTCTCGTGTTATAGTTGTGCTGAAATACATCTTTGCTTTAGACCTAAGAATTCTGGTAAACAGTAATATTCCGGATGGGCTTTTCGCTTCCAACCACTTCTCACTGGCCCGGTTCGGATCGAAGGGTAGCTGGAAACAAGACTGGTGGTGGTGTTCTGATATACGTGAATCGTCGCTGATACTCCATCTGGAAAGCACTTTCATTTTGGATTTCTCAAACATACACTGACTATTATGTGAAGATGTATTTTCCTCAACATCATGATATCCGTCCAATTGGTGGATGTCTGACCGTTCCCTGAAGAAAGTTTTTGGGTCAAAACAGAGCGACTCTGTGTCTTGGCTTGTGGTAACCTAAGCCACGTTCAGTTATCTCCTATGGGTACATTTGACAGTCAAATTTACACCTAGGGGCCAAGCCTACAGGTATGCATTGTATGTTTGTTGACACAATGAGCCTTCTCTTAGGCTTGCGTTATCCAGTTGTTCCCTAAAGTCCTCCCTTAACTGGACTATCAAATAATGATCTATGCTGAGAAACGTCGAATCCGTGGGTATAATCCGATTACTCACCCCTTAACCGTATTTGATATATGGTTGACACCACAGACTGCTATGTTCTGACAATAAGAATCTGTCCTTACAATACTCCCCGCTTTCCTGTACCTGAGCTTTTATCTGGATTTTGGTTATCAATGGGAGGCAGTCTATGTGAGCGCAAACTGCCTCACCTCAGCTGCGCTCAAGAAATGCAGACGAGCCAAAGAAAAAAAAACGTTTAGCTCCGCAGACGACCAAAGTATGTCCCATGCAAATTGATCAATGCTGAATATCATTTTCTTCTCCATCCTTTTGTCCACTAGTGTCGGTTACTGCGAAGTTCCTTACATCAGAAAAGAAGTCATACCACAACTGCATCCATCCTATACCTATAAGCCAACATATGGCTCAATTACTCAACTAATAACACTATCCTCAGAAAACGTCCATCAGGAACTAACGAAATCATGCTCGCACAAAGCCAGTGGACCGGTCAAGGTGTCACCGGTAATGTGCTCAAGAATGCTGTTCCACTGTCACGTGTTCAGTCATGTGCGCTTAAAATCCCGTAGTGCCAACAGATGAAGAGTATCTCCGATTCGAGGAGCCTATCAATATTGTGATTCACCGAAACACCGTGGCATTTCAAACACCTCTGTTTTGTTGAAGTTGTTAGAACGATTCCTCCCTGACATTAGAGGGCCTTAACTCAGCGTTCTTATGATGTACATCGTAGATCTATTGCAGTAGTCTGTTCCTGCCGCACGATATCACAGACCTTAAACGTCAAATCAAAGTACTTCTGGGTCTAATTTAGCAGTGCCCTCGACTCAGTTAGAATATCTCTGCTTCCTAAGCTCTCCTGAGTAGCCATAGGAAGAACCCTTCCGTCTTTGGACAAATATTTTACGACCAGTAGGACAGTTTGATCAGACTGATAGAGAGGTGTTGAATACTTGCCGACACACATCGCCTGTCCTAAAGGGTAGTTTTGTCACCTTTTTTTCATTTTCTTCTATTTGGAACGTGCGGACCAGTTTCATTTTTAGTGTTCAACCACTGACCGGAAGCTCGTGGGTTCGTGAGATGCGCACTGCTGATGATTCCCAATAGGGATGAAACAGCTGTACGGTGCTTCTCGGCTCTCCACCATAGATTGGCCCACGGTGCTTCTCTCCACCATAGATTGGCCCCTATTGACAGGATGAAATCTCCATTGAATATCACCAAATATCCTTACATTATCCTCAAACTATATCTGTGTTGCCGAAGCATGTTCTACATCGTCGATGCCGGCTTATTGAAGTAGGTCATCAAAGCTTTATCCTATAGGACGCAAGACATTTCGCAACGAAACCCATCCAACTTCACCGAGGCGAGATAAACAATCTGTGGCTCAAAGTACTATCAACGGTTGCTCAGTACCTCAACCCGATTGTTCATCTCTTATTTCTAGAACAGCTGACTTGGGCACGTTAATAGGGTCTTGCCTAAAATTCGAAGACTGTCATACTATGACGTGGTTCCTAAAACACTACCAATTAAGTCATCCGGAATTTTACCGGATTATTTTGTGTTCTTCATCAGCGCCTTTCGGCGTCCAGAAAAGGAACTATTTCATGATCGAACAGCGCATTTGGATCTTACCAACCTCCTTTTGGTTTTCTGTTAAACGCATTAATTGAAGGAAACAAAATTTCGTTCTTCATCCGTCAGATTCGAGTCTAATCAACTGCCTCCTTGCACAGCTCCACCACGCATTCATAATAAAAAACATCTGCACATTAGAGCTATTTGATTGCCTGTATCGCTTGCCTGGTGATCCTAGAACAATCTTGCAGGTCCAAACTTTCAGAACCAATGCGGGCACGATTTGTTCTCCATCATGAAACGTCTTCATCTCGCCAAGTATTTTTTCCGCCACCTGCCCCCCCCCCCACGATTTACTTGCTCTTTTTCGGTTTTCGTATACATGTTATTCATACGCCTACGTCCGTGTATCATGTGTGAAACGGTTTTGTCTGAAAATCCGCTAGCACCGATCAATTGTGAAGACTTCTTGTCTGTCTTCTTCCCAGGCTCGTGGTTGAAGTCACGGGTCTGTCTCCTTGTTCCTCAGGGTTGTCTACCTTCATTGTATGCTTGTTTTACTTCACTACATGAAAACATACGTTCACTTTGATGGAACCGAAATGTACACTTTACATCCTTTAGCCATCTAGAGGTAGACGGAAGTTAATATGACAGAAAAGAGTGAAGGATGTTTGAACGGTATCGGTCCAGGATGGAATCCACTTGGCCCTCCCTGCGCTTAACTGAAGGCATTGGATGATAGGGTGGCTAAGCGGTATCAGCATTATCCCTATGGCCAGTTTCTATCCAGATTGTATGATTAAGTGCTGCAGGTGCCGGCACCTTGGATGTTTGTTGTACGCTAAACCTAGGTCCCCGATGACATTTCTTTCTTGTTCCCAATAGAAGGCTTTGTTGAAGTAAATTAACATGATTGTACGGCACTAGTGCACCAGTGTTCTCATCTTGTGCTGCTGTCAGTGATGACCATGAGCCTCCTAATGGACGTACCCAATTGGAACAAGTGTTACTCTCACTGCGGACGTATTGTCTACTAAAGTGTTGATTTGCTACCTCGCAACCAATTGTGATGTTGAAAACGATGGGAATATCCCTGATCTCGCTTAGCTCATCGGCCCCAATTTGGGTGGCTCCATTTTTTGTCACTTCATGCATGATAATATTTTCCTCATCGCGTCTGCCTATTTCAGGATATCACACTGTCTGGGGCGTCACTCCTGCACTCCACTCTCCCCTAATGTCTGTCACCAACGCTGTGTCTGGTATCACCGCTGTTGGAGGTCTTCTTCTCATGGGTGGTGGATACCTTCCCCCCGGTCTCCCTGAATACTTGGCCGCTTCCGCAACCTTACTCTCAGCCATCAATATTGGCGGCGGGTTCGTTGTCACGCAACGAATGCTTGACATGTTCAAACGTCCCACCGATCCACCTGAATATAACTACCTCTATGCCATCCCTGCTGCCGCGTTGCTTGGAGCATACACATATGGAGTTGTCGGACTAAATGCACCGACCGATTTGCATCAAGCCACCTACCTAGCCGCTTCGCTATGCTGCATAGGAGCCATTACTGCTCTGTCGGGGCAGAAAACATGCCGGGTCGGTGAGTTTTTACTCTGCTTTTTATTTTATTGACTTTTGATCTCAGTGACGAAGTTCCTGCTCTTAAAAAACAGCTCCGTTGTCACTGAGAGGCTACATACCTAAACGAGGAATTCACTCAAGTTCCTACATAGGTTGCATATATCTGCCTCGCTTCTCACTTTCACGCATCCACTTTCAAGCATCCCTCGCATCTGATTGTGGCCATCCCGTAGACGGCGCGGCATCTGACGGGAGCTATAGGGTCGAAAGCTTTCGGAAGACAGGGAGGTTACATGCTAGAGCCGAACAAGTTTCTCTCGTAATCATCCCCGCGATCATCTCCCAGTTCTTCAGTTTTATACTTCCAAAAATTTGTTTCCTGCTCCATCCATGTACTTATGAATTTTTCGTGTTCCTGGCCTGAACTCAAAGTTGTCATATGATTTCTAGGTATTTTGGTTAACCACTCTTCTATCACTAAATTCGGACAACCTTCTCATACGGAATAAAATGCCTTAAGACAACTAGGAATTGAGTTTTTCTACTTCAATTGCGCTCAATGCCACGCTGAATGACCTCTAAACTTGGTGTGGTGTAGATGCAGTCTACAGACCAGTTTGTTTTTACTCCAGGCCGCGTGAACCCGTCAGTAAAGTACAAAACTGCTCTTATCATTAGCGCTAGTGAGTATTACCAGTGTATTGCTATCTTTTATGGTGATTTCCCCACTGGTTACTTCGTTCTGGAACTTTCTCAAATGCTGCAAGCACTACTCTCGCTGTACCGATCACCGACGCGGCGTACGGCATTTCTCTCGAGCCATTGGTGATGGTTGGTTATCATACCCATACTCTCACTCATTTGCAGACTAATTTGGCCGTAACGTGGGATTCAGCGGAATCTCTCGTTTATGATATTCTGTTGTGTTTGTTGTCTTATTCAACCTTGTTTCACCACTATTTTCAGGAAACGTTGTGGGAATGATTGGTGTCTCTAGTGGTTTGGCTGCCACGCTTGGTATCATCCAACCCAGCCCCGAGCTGTTGACTCAGATGGCAGCCTGTCTTGCCGGTGGTGCTCTGATCGGAGGCATTGCTGCCAAGCGCATCGAAGTTACTGACTTACCTCAAATGGTAGCACTGTTTCACAGGTGAGTGCTCTTAACGAATGGCGTCCACGATCACGGAACTCAGTGTATACTATTTACCGCATGATACAAAATCGAGTAACCCGGATTGTTTCAGGCGGTTTGCGAGCATTCGAATGTGGCATCACGCTTAATCTGAGTTAACTAGGCTGGTGGGCAAGCCCCCCCCCCACAATTCTGTTGTAAGTATTCCATCGACCCAAGCATAATGACATTGTTGGCTATTTAACACAAACGCACTGGGCTAATCCGTCAATTCCTCCGCACTTTCCCCAGATAAATCTCCGTAATAATGCACTTTGAAAGATGCAGAAGAATGAGGATAGTCAGTATAGAAAATAGCTAATTAGTTGGCCATTAGAATGTGTCCTCAGGCACAGACATCTTGTTTATCTTGCAGTTTAGGGAGTCATGATAAACCAACAGGGACCAGTTTGATGTTTAACGATTTTGCTTGTTCTACCCTCTCGACGGTTGTGTTTCCAGCCCACCCTGATGCGCACAACCAAGACCCGCCTAGGAATCCAATCACTTGCAGTCCTCAAGGTGCGCTCCAGCCACGATAGTTTGTACTACATTACAATAGCACAGGGCATTGATAAGTTCCTCTGTCACATCAAGATTGTGTATCACAGACATCACTACTCAAACACTATCTGCCCCTTATTATTCAATTTTTCACTTTCATGGAGAAGTACAGCATATACGGAAGTTCAGTAGAGATTTCAGCCTGTCAGTGAGGCCACTGTATGCTAAAAAGCCGAGATCACTGTACAGCTGTTTCATCCTTTTTGGGAATCATCAGCAGTGAGCCTCTCACGAAACTTAAAAAGTTCCGAACCCGCGACTGTCCGCCCAGCGGTTGAACACCTAGCCGTTTGGCCAAGAGTGGCTGTTCAGCAGTGCAATTAGCTCTCACCTGGAAATATCGTACACTCAGTCTTTCAGCGGCGGACTTTTCACAGACCACAATCTTCCAGTAACGTTGTTCGGGGGCCAGCCGTCCCTAATAACCGAACAGCACATCATTTGGGCGGATGTGTCAGGTGCAGGAAGCGGGCCAAACGAAGGCATGCCCTGAGTGGTCAGAATGCCAGCCAATCCGAGTCAAGCACCTGTGACTCGACGCTTCTCGCCCCCTCACGGAGATTCTGGCACCACCTTGTGGAACACACGCTGTGACTACCCTATAAATATAGTTGTACTAATTTTCCTTTGTCTTTCTTTGTAGGCTACCGTGCCTTTTGATATACCATAGTGGGCGGAGCAGGAAGCCAAGGGACCGATACAGAGTTGCACGACCGTACATCAAGATGTGGCAGTGCGATTGGTTATTTCCTGCTTGATACCGGCAGTACCGGTCTATCCGCCTATATATGTGTATTTTCGACAACCTCGAGTGTGGCCTCGTCGAGAGAGACTGCGTTTCCTGGTACCACCACTTCATACTTTAGCAGGAAAATGCCTGGTAGAAGTCATCAAACTCTCAAGGGCATCCTGTGCCCAATCCCTGCAACCACTGCATCGTTCGTACTTATCAGATTGTTTCCTACAGACCCCATTGATAAGCACCGCAGAAATGGAGAGTGTAATTAACCTTGTCGGACCCCGTTTCATAAGGCAAAAAGCAAGCTTGGCTCGCCGTATGTCTCAGCAAGCTGGGACATAGAGGCATTTTAGGATCTCACTAGATGTTAACGGAGTTTCGTTTTCTGTGAGACTTAATGATTCTGTTCACAACATCAAAAACACCTCGGATGTTGAAGGAAATCAGGAGGGGGGCGATCTTCAGTGTGTGGCATGTCTACAACAACTGTCGCAAGGAGCAAGTGTGACTGATACATCGTCAGCCTTCTGGGAATGCCACCTCTTCCCCACAGATAGATTATTCGTGCACTTTAGCCACAATTGTTTGTTTTATGGGAAATCCACCATCTCCCGTCCTCAGCTGGAAGGGCTAGGATCCTATTTGGAGGCGAGATGGCTCAATAGTCAGAGCGCGAATTTACTGACTGGAAGATCCATGGTTCGAATCCGACCTCTTGATTTGCCCTGTCTAGGCTCGGACAACGTGGAAATATCCCAGCCCTCGTGCTTCCTTCGAGTGGCATGGTAGATAGACACCAAAAGGGTGCTTCAGCTGAACGGAAGTCCTGGATGCTTTCTAAGTACCTCGTCACGCATTGGCCGACGAACTCCCACAAGCTATGGTTCTGAGACGACGGTTGTCGAACACCTGAGGGCGTCTCAGTTCCGATGCTCGAACAAATCAGGTCTCACAACCTGATACACACGTCCCACGACGTGTGTATCTCATTCGGGGATATACCGCTTTGACGCCATAGGTGTACCAAATTAGTGAACGCGACCCGGGCCTTGCAGATTCGTGTATTGACTTCTGTCACAATACAGTCGGAACTAGTGGTAAAAACATTTCATGTTTTCGTGTAAATAGTTCTTGTAAGACATCATTCGTTGCGTCCTCGAACTTTCTTGTTTGTTCGTGGTGCTCCTTATTGGGATGTTTTAGTTCGCTGAAATTCTTGCCTCCGGATGATCACCGAATGTTGTGTTTTGTCTATTGGTGGGGAATGATGCGCACGGAACGTGGCTTTTGATTAGAGAGCAACTACAAAGTCTTCAGACTTCTAAGTACTGATACCTCAGAACTGTAACTGTTCCTGAATGACGTTTGCGGACTCGTGACGGCTTTAATTGTGAAAAAAAAACAGACTGCGGCGTCTCACTGCGTGAAGCCGCTTGGTCGTCATTTTTCATAACTTCTTCCAAACGTGGAGTGAACAATCGCTACGCTCGTAATGGTGACTTCATGAAGATGCACATAGTATAGTTAGACACTGTTACCAAGCACAAAAGTTCTAGGTGATACTGGCGATCGGTTCCAGTCGCTTCATGCTTGGCTGTGCGTCGTCAAATTCACAAATGGACAAACATCCTACCCTGAGGCTGGGTGTTAATTTCTTATTTCAATGGTACTTTATGTCGTACCTAGCTACACACAGGATGCAGAGACGTGATTATCCTGGAGCTAGCTAAATCAAGTTTGAAGATCAGACACTACTTTGTTCCATGAGAGTACTTTGAGGTTCAAGCTGACATGCGCGATCGATTGGTGATTGATTTGATTCCCGATTGTAAGTTCGCCCGCACTGATCTAAGTTCTTACAACCTTGCGGTATTTCAACCTTCGTAGCAATTATGTGCACAGCACCTGGTTCAAATATTAAAAGCGGTTAGAACTTCAATTCTCCTGATAAGTTCATCCAACTCATTATCCCGCACTTTTAATTTTCCCTCATTGTGCCTTTCCTTTTCTGCAAAGCTTGGTCGGTGCAGCTGCAGTCCTCACTTGCGTTGCGAACTACATGGTGGAGGCCCCCGAACTGCTGGCTAATCCGGCGTCCTATGGTGCGCTACAGCTGATGAAAACGGTGGCTTACTTGGGCACTTGGATTGGTGGTATCACCTTGACCGGATCATTGGTTGCTTTCGGCAAGCTTCAAGGTATCAGACCTCGTTCTCTTTTATTTTCCATTCCAGATTTCTGATACCGTTCGCCGCTGAAGCTAACCTCGTGTTCTTAGAACGTAGGGCCGACGTGTGGGGGAAATATTTGTCTGCTGTCGGCTCACTGGTTCTGGTGTTTTTGTAAACACACACGGACATCTCTACTACTGCGAAATCCGGACAATGTAGACAGTTGTCCTTTTGGCCTCTTCACTAGCCGCCCGGATGTTCGCTCGATGACGAACCAGTGTCACCGTTTGGTTTTAACGAGATACGCCACTGAATCCTAGCTGAACCGCTTGTNACACACACACTGAATATGCCGCACCAAGGCCCTCGTGTTTCAGTTGGTACGATATTCCAGCATACTTTCTTCAAGGAAGAGTACTATAAGGTTTCCGAAAACCAAAGATGTTCAGCTACGATTCAGTTGGATCTCCCATTAAAACAAAGTGCTTGTGCAAATGGTCTAATTTCGCGAATTTCATACACTTTGGGCTCAAGTATAACATAGGGTTGACGGAAATTCGGATCTGTGCCCACCTGATGACCCACAAGGAGGACAAAATCGGTTTTGCGCTGCCGAAGAATCTTCAGAAACCTTCAAGCAATATCACCCCTGTTTTTTCTTGAGTTAGTTTTAGAGGGAGACAGCGTTATGGGTGGACTTTTATGGCTTAATGCGTCAAATAACATTGTTGATATTCGACAGGATCTACTTGATAGTAGATCCCTTCGTAAGATAAAAATTACCATGGAACGTTTAGTGGGTGGGACCCTTCGGGACATACGGCTCTGGGCGAATCGGAAGTCACCCCCGCGCTAACATGCACCCAAACGACGGTACGCTCCCATAATTACTCCGAACAGTCCCTTCAGATACTCCAGCCAACCGCCAGTCACGGAGCACTATCGTAACCTTGTCGGACCGACCAACGTGAACTGCTGAACCAGTCTTCCAAGTACTAGGGGCTTATTGTAGGCCCGCAATCATTCCGAGATACCTAGACTTCCAGACACTCATTCAAATAATCTGGATAGAAACTAGTAACAAGAACGTTATTGACATCGATCACCAGCTGTATCTTGCAGTTTTCATCCCTGCACAGGGAAGATCACGCGTCCCCTACTCTGAGAAGCGAGTCGCACCGACAGCACCCAGACTTTTCGTAGTTTCTTTCGTTCTTCTCTGCCTCGTCAAAGGTTTAACATCACTCTGAATAGGGTACGGAGAACAGCAAACGATGATTCGTCATGCGCAGTATACTGCCAAACCACCACAGCATTTCATGCTGAATTCGCCTATATTAACCCACACGAGCTATGGTTCTGAGACACTCGCTGTCGAAAAACCGAAAGAATCTCATTTTGGTTGCTCTCAGAGCCCGCACCATCAAATAACCCGTATTGTGGCCTGCTACATACGGGCATGCCACTTTGCCAGCAAATGTGTCTCGAATCAGCAAACACGTATATTAGCACTATCTGTTATCACTGTTGGACACTGATATTATGTTGTCGATGATGATGGTGATTTGTTCACGCCTTAACTGACCTGAAAAGGGTTGGCTGGTATCAATGACCGAACTAGCTGACCGTTTTATAGTTCCTAACTGGTCGATAACTTCCTTTTTGTTGCTATGTGCCGCTTAGTATGGCGTTGTCGTTCATCTTAGCTTGAGAACAAAAAGACTGAATCCCATTTAACCCCCCTTGTGGTTTTCTTCACCCCCTGACCTTTCGAGACTCCATCACATTGCGAAAATATTTTCCATGCCGCTGTTCACTTCAGGTATCTTGGATTCCTCTCCATTACTACTACCGCAACGTCATGCACTGAATGCTGGACTGGTGGCGCTCTCTGGTGCTGGTCTTCTTGGTCTCTTGGCCCTTGGTCCTGAATCGTATGCTCACGGACTAGGTGTGTTACTGGGCGGAGCAGCAATCGCTGGTGGGATCTCCGGTCTGACGTTGACGGCAGCGATTGGAGGTAATGTTTATTCCATTCTGCTATAACCTGCTTGTCATCGGAATAGATGTTTGATAATTGGTCACAAGAATGAGTGTGTGACGCTCAGGTACTCTGCTGCCATGGTTCTCTGCTGAAAGTGACTATGTTGCATCTCTGAAACATACACACAAGATTCGAATCTGGTTGTACATTTTATCTCCCCTCTCCAAAACGAATCCAGCCTTCTTCATATTTCACTTTCCTGGGTTTTTAGAGATCGTGAGGCAGCAACTCGTAATATATACCACGATCGACAAAATGAGGCCGTGGATGTCTGTTGGACCATTCGGTCAAGAATACAGACGTTGTCACCTATGATATATTGTTTTGCCTAGTTTTATGGGGCAGCGAGTTGCTTAAAAAAACTTCGGTAAGACAGCTGATGTTCGGGTTAGTTGAGGCTTAGATGGCTCAGTGGTTAGAGCGCGAATTTACTGACCGAAAGGTTCGTGATTCGAACCCAACCTCCTGTTTAGGCTTGGGCAACCTGACAGTATCCCAGCCCTCGTGCTTCCTTCGGGTGACATGGCATCTAGGCACTGCAAAAGTGCTACAGCTGCACCATTATTATTCATGTTAGTCGGGAGCATCCACTGGGGAGGGCACATTGTCGATTTTGGTCCATATCACTTCCCCGGATCGTTTATTTGGGTTCATTCACACACTGCACCCGAGCTGATAGTTAGCTCACAATCCTGGCTACTCGGTCCCCGTGTTGGGTGGCCTTGGGTGAGTAGAGTAGCTACAGGTAGCCTATTTTTTTGAGTAAAACTATCGTCACCCAGAGCCGGGCATATGCTTTTGATTGTGTAGCATTTAACAAGATATGCATCAGAACTTTGATGATTCTCTTTGTCAACTTCTAAAATTCTCCTTTTCAATCGTTCCTATATGCTGCGACTCAACAGTCATTTTCTTCAGTCTTTTTTGACATTTAACACCTGGTTCTCTTTACTGTGTACCATCTTCAACTTCCTTTCAGGAGCCGACATGCCCGTCGTGATCACCGTTCTGAATAGCTACTCTGGCTGGGCTCTTTGCGCTGAAGGTTTCATGTTGAACAACAGTCTGATGACAGTGGTCGGTGCACTGATTGGATCCAGCGGTGCTATCCTCTCTTATATCATGTGCAAGGCCATGAATCGTTCTCTTCCCAACGTGATCATGGGTGGCTACGGCACTTCCTCGTACGCTGGTGGTCAAGCCATGGCTATCACCGGTGGGCATTTGCATTTGATTTATGATTTTCTCAATTTCCCGCGCCGTGGTATGTAAGCACTGTATCACTGTGTCCGTTTATCTTTTTTTTGCACAGGAACACACAGAGAAACGGATGTGGCAACGGTGGCTGACCTGATGCGTGACAGCAAAGATATTGTCGTTACCCCCGGGTACGGGTTGTGCGTGGCCAAGGCGCAGTATCCGCTTGCCGAATTAGCGAAAGAGTTGACCAAAGAAGGAAAACGAATCCGATTCGCCATCCATCCAGTGGCTGGTACGTGCCCCGTCTATTATATTAGTTGAAATGATTATTACTATCCTGTTAGGGGATGGAACTTTGCACCATTCGGTCTGCCTCATGACTAATTCGAGTGGTCAGTACTTGCAGTTTCCAAGCTTTGCGTCAACTGCGCTTGAATTCGGTCTGTTAGTGATCTTGTTCTAAAACACTAGGAGGACACGGACCGGATAGCAGTCGAAAAAAGCTTCCTAAGGAAGACTTTATCACCTTACTTATTCACAGTAACTTAAAGCAGGCTTAGTTCATTTATAAGATCACCACAAACTGGATATTCAGTGGAGTCTCCGGTCGAACTAATTTGCATGAGTGCATGTCGTCAAGTGTTTATTTCTCTTTTTAGAAATATGTAGCCAATCGATTAAAGCACCATGTTTATAAGCTTCCTACATCCTGCTGCTCAATCGCGTCTCATTCGAGTAAACAGTTTGTCCGTTGTTTTGCCTTCCCGTGAAGCCTATCAGTTCATTTTCCTTGCTTTGGCACACATTGGCAGGACCGATCCACGAGTATCGTCTGCGGCTCCGAAGCTATCCCGGCATATCCGATTCGATCAGTATTGCGACTAAGCCGCAAAGGTCAGAGGTCGAATCGAACCTCATAGTCATCGATTGATAGTCAAATGGGTCATTAATCCGGCTGATCGCTTCCGAACCTGAGTTTGAAACACAAACCCCAAGTTTTTAACAATTTCTGTGGCCATATCAATTAAGACTCACAAACTGCCGGTTCACAGACGATCTTGACTCATACCTTTTGGTTACCTCGACACTGATCCTACGACCTGCGCAGTCCGCTTCATTATTATTATCTTACACGTTTTATGTTCCCAACTGCTGATAGTAAAATGTCACGGCCTCTGTCTTCTCGATGTTTTGGCGAAGTGGACTACAGAGACTCAATGTTTTAAAGCTTGGACAACCTGACAGTATCCCAGTCCTCGTGTTTCCTTTGGGTGACATGGCATTTGGACACCGAAAAGATGCTACGACTGAACGGTTATTATTTTATTAAGCAATGTTTTAAAGTCGTAGTTGTCATTGGTGTACGTACCTGCTGTGCACGTTGATGAGCTCAGGAGCTAACATAGAGACCAATGGTAGTACTAAGGTTACTCGTTTGTTACCCGAAGTTGCACCATAGCTTGTGAACCTCTGTCGCCTCCTGAACGTGATTCTCTCTCTATTCGCGCTTTTGAAATGCTCACTCTCAATCCTTACTGTTTGCCCTTCAAAAGTATCAGTGATCGATTGTCTCCAGTGCACAACTATCCGCTTTGGTTCTCCGCCGAGTCGTACCATACACACCATCTTTAGCTAATGCAGGCAGTACATAGTGTAATGGCATTATGTCTTGAAATTTGCCTATGCACCATAGAACAATAATATTTTTCCAACCCACCCTTGACAATGTTTGATTACATTTTATATGTAATCAATGTATGTATGTCTGATCAACTTTTATTCTTCGTCAGGTCGTATGCCCGGACAGTTGAATGTGCTTCTCGCCGAAGCTGGTGTGCCGTATGATATGGTCTACGAAATGGACGAAATCAACGCAGACTTTCCAAAAACTGACTTGGTCCTTGTTATTGGCGCCAACGACACAGTGAACTCGGCTGCCGAGGAAGACCCCAATTCTATTATTGCTGGAATGCCTGTTCTGCGCGTTTGGCTGGCAAAGAAGGTGAGTGACATTGTGCAGATGTGTCCTTGTCACATGGTCATCTTCTTTTACCGGTCTGCTTGCTGATTTAGTTGTTTGTGTGACCATAGTTCGGCGTCTGACCCTATTTCCTATGGGTTTTCGTCAGGCTACGGCGCGCCCCAATGGATTGACCAGTAGGTTAACGTGGCTGTCTGTACTGTAGTGGTACTGTGCATGGTCATCAGCGAAGTATTCCTCATGGATGCCTATGAGTTCTCATTCATTGAGCAGGGTCCGTTGGCGTAGCGGGTTGCGGTGAAAAATGGATGGTAGAATGCTCTATTTTTACTTAGGGTCAACCATGTTTATGCTAATTTTCGCCGCAGCAAGTCCGACCTAGATTCGGCCCGTTTGTGTGCGCACTTTTGTGTGTGGCATTTTTGTGCGCCTGAACTTCAAAACTTGGGTTGCTTCTTGATGAACTTGAAAAATGGGTATTGAAAAGTCATCATCCTCATTACGGGAGCGTATATTTCATTTGACACTGGCGTGCCATCTGAATGGCTCACATTGGTTTAGTTACTGTCAGCTTATTCAGGCCAACCGGCTTCAAGCACGGATCTTAACCGGAATGTTGCCCTCAATCCGTTTCAGCTGCTTCATGCAAACAGGAAGTCACGAACGGAAGTTGGGTAGTGGGTTAGGAACGGCGGACTACCTGCTTCATAAGAACATGAGATGCTCAACACTCGGAGACGCCACGTCTCCCTTTGACATCTTGTACTCGACGGTTGTTTCAACACTTTGGGGCGGTTTTGAAAGTAAAACCGTGTATCTACTAACCTCATGTTTGAGCTGTAATTTTGACCACTTCACAGCCGGTGATTTCTTTTTTTCACGCTTCTTTTCACATAGAATGCCCGCCGAAGAATGCACATTTGCCATTGTAGGCACATGGGGTTGCCCAAGTTCCTTCATTCGACTACCTTAGTGAAGGCTTTCTGCCGCGTTTTCAAAGTCATGTTTGTTAATGTTTCGATCTATCGTTCTGACCCAGGTTACTGTGCGTTTTCGCATTCTGTCGCCACGCCAAGCTTTCACAGTCAAGGCCATATCGTAGCGTGGCACCTGGCAGAGAGTGTGTAAAGCCGTTCACTAATCTGCTTTGTGCGATCGTAGGAAGCGTATGTATTGATCCCACGCTCAGTTTACTAGCAGACCAAACAATGGTTAGTGACCCTGACAGGTGTGCTTGTGTCACACAACCAATAGCGTGCTTGCATCAGAGCTATCTATCGCCTTCCAAGCTTAGCTCTCGCTTCCCGTCATGCTGGACAAACAGATCCATTTGCCGTCAATGGATTGATTGGGACATCACCTCCAACGCATGGTCCTCATTCTCCTTACTCTCGGTGAACAAAACTGTGGCATCTGGAACTGCACTGCTGAAATACTGACTGACCATACCAACCAAGCCTGGATGTTTAGAAACCTCGGCTGGCTCCGTTGCTTGAATTCCTCACCTCAAACACTGCCTTTCAAGAGCTTATGTACCCGAGTTCTCTTTCGCTTGCACTTGCCCACTGCAACACATCTACTCAACTTTCTACACCCGATGACAGCTAAATAACTAGTCAATTGGTTGACCATAGGCTCATTTCACTAACAGTCGGAACACATATCTGGAGGAGAGGACAACACCCTTCACGTTCGATAATGCAAGAGACTGCATTTTGTCCTGTACCTTATCAATGTAGTATTCGGCTTCAGTTAGGCGGTATGACGAGGAAACGCATAATAACCTTGGCTGGAATGATCGGTCGAAGTATACGGTAGACATTTTGGTACGCATCACGGCCCGAAAAGGCCTTCAGTGAGATCGTCAAGTGTAGTGGATGAACTGATACACGTCCATTACGAACGAAAATGTACGTCCCACTTTGGAGTGCATACCAATGCTGAAAGGCGCATTTGGATTATTTGGCAAACAGTATACAATGCACAAATTGTTGCTCTTTTTTGTTCTTATCCCTGTGTCCATGCATCGTTTATTTCTCCACTTTGAAGGTTATTATTGTCAAACGCACTCTGGGTGTTGGCTATGCGGCCGTGGACAATCCGGTGTTTTTCAAAGACAACACAGACATGTTACTCGGTGATGCGAAGAAGGTGTGCGATGGCCTCCTGAACGCATTTAAACAAGACGTCTGATCTCATTCGCCCCTTCCCCCATTCATCATAGGCCTTCATTTATTCAGATATTCTCAATCCCGGTTTATTCACCCCAAGCGTTTGTTGCAACCTACCTCTTGTCTACCATGGTATGTTTCATTCCCGATTTCCGTGCCCCTTTCCACTTAGTCCACTGTCCGCATTTCCCGTTAGTTTCTGTTTTCGTCTGCCCTCTGAGCTCAAACGAATAGTTGTTGTTTCTAAAGCAATCGCGTCGTCTTTAGTGTTGGGTTGAGTATTCTAGAGAATTGTCGGTTCTACTCGCCTCCCAGGATGATGATCGCGTAATCCCCGTTGAGTCTGGTTGGAGACGCTTCAACGTATGGCTGATAATCGATGCCAAAGGCGTTCCCGTTGTCAGTTTTATCCAGATTGCTGGAATGAGTGTGTGGAGGTGTAGGCAACTCGGCAACTAGTAAGCTATCACTAAGCCCCTTCCTCGTCTACTTTTATTATTTTCTCCACACAAAGGCTTTCAATTAAATCATGGCTGTACGACAGTGAGGCATCGATGTTGAGCACCGATGTCATACTGTCAACGATGGTGATTTAAAAGAATAAAATAGTGCAACAAATACAGTCATTTGCATACTAATTTGGTTTTCAATGGGAAACTCACATGAATCTCGCGTTTACAATGTTTCTCTCCGGTTGGATGTGCTGCGACAGGTCGCCGCATATGTCAGTTGCTGCGATATTCGAGCTATCGCAGTATTGCATTATATAAACGCAATACGCTATTCATAACATGAGGTGGCCTGATGCCGGGCGTTCAGATGAAGAGGACAATCGTTAACGAGAAATTTAGCTGGGCTCCAGGTGAGTCCTTCGTGAAAACCAGGTCGGTGTGCAAATGAATGAGGTTCGTCCAATTTGGGTTCAGATAGAACTTAGGGTTTACGAAAAATGGGGAACTGTATCTACCTGCTGAGCTCCATAAAGGATGGAAGTGGCAACCGTGTGAGTATTGTATTATGTCTGTATGCTTAATGTATTATATGTGGGAAGTCATTGTAGTTCGTCCAATTTGGGTTCAGATAGAACTTAGGGTTTACGAAAAATGGGGAACTGTATCTACCTGCTGAGCTCCATAAAGGATGGAAGTGGCAACCGTGTGAGTATTGTATTATGTCTGTATGCTTAATGTATTATATGTGGGAAGTCATATGGTTTGTGTGCTCGCCCCGTACTCAGAAAGTCCAAATTTCAAACCCACCTGATGGTGTTATCGCAACTGTTGCCGAAACGTTTACGAGCGCAATGGGCAAACCGTGCTATACGCACTACGAGGCGGTAATTTTTCGGTGGTCATAATGCAAGTGATGCATTTCAATCGCATCTGAACATCAACCATTATTTGGCCTTGACTGTGCGGACCTAGTTCAATACTATCACGAGGGCTCCGTCATATTGTAACTCCTTTCTCTTGATTTGAGTAGGTATATTATTTCTTCCTTAAATAATTGTCCAGGACCCGAATTGAAATAGGTGCTAAGTAACTCGATATATAAAGTAAAACACTGATCGAGAAATACACTCATTTGCAAATCAATTTGGTTTTCATGAGAGACTCAACTTAACCTCTCGTTTATGATATTCTACAACTGAATGTGCTGCTCACAGGCCGCCTCATGTTTCAGTTAGCACGGTATTCGAGATATCGCTGTATATTTTCNACTACGCACAAGGTTGCTGTCGAAGAGTTTTTCAGCAACCTGTAATTAATTTTCTTTATAAAATACTAATCGTTTAACTGTAACATCTTAGTGGTACCTAGCTGTCATACGACACAAGAGCTGTGAAACTGCCAAGTTGCCCAAGCAGCAGTCAAGATGCCGAGGTTGGGTTCAGACCACGAACCTTTCGGTCAGTAGGTTCGTGCCCTAACCACCTGTGTAGAGGAGCTTGAGGTTTGTAGCAGTTTGTCGTTCTGTTATTACATTTTTTACATGTTAATAAACATCCAATTGATGCGACTTTTTTCTGAGGGGAGGCGTCTGACTACTGGCCGCAGTCAATAGTACTAAATTCTGAGATATTTTGTGGATCTTCGACGTCCGCTCTTCGTTGGATTTGGGATCTCCTCAAGCCAAGATGACGAAAATACGGAGTGATCAGTTACTTCAGACTTTGTCGAACCCTCAGCCTGATACTTTGCTGAACAGCATTATCGATAGTTTTGTTGTTATGCCCTATTCCTCAGCCTTCTCGTTGTTTCGACACTTCCCCTAGGTCATGCGTGGCCGGTAGTGTAATCTACAGCTGGTGAAAGCTTCGCCCAGGAGCATGTTAAAGAATGACGTATTGGGAAAGCTTGCGACAGCTAAACCAATCCGGAACAAGAGATTGGCGTTTCAAAAGCAGACGTTGAATTACGAGTACTCGGACCAAAAAGGGACAGTTGCAAGTTAATTTGAACTTCGCATAATCTCTAGTAAGCACAACGTCGAGATGTTTATTATAAAACTCAGTGGGGGTGGGAAGCAAAATGTCCAGGATTCAGCGTAGAATAGGTACCCAGGTGCAAACTGCAGCGCGCAGATTCGACGGTATATACTGACGGATTATCGGAAATAGGAACAGTAAGTTCGACGGTTATCCGGCGGGGTTTCGGAAACCCACTTAGGCGTTGCAAATGAACGTAACCGACCGCTTGTTTGATTACAATAACATGTTGATGTACCTTGTCAGCTGTTGCTGTGAAGGAGCTACAAAGGTCTTCGAGCATTCTCTTTTTCCCCTGATAAATCAAGTTATGGGAATCATTAGGACGCAAGCAAAGTCGCATGCAGATGAATTGTGGGCGGAGAGTCAGTGGGTTTATCGGCTAGGAACCACGTACGAAGAGTACGTTTGTTCCAGTAGTTACAGTTTCGGTCAATAGAAAATTAAATCGCAGGCTAGTATGTGAATTTTGGAGGTGACAACGTATTGCATCGGTCCAGTTATTTGAAGGAACGGGAAACTGGGTAGCCACGCATAGAAGCTGAGAGCATTGACACAAAACTCGTGTCATTACCCATTGGTGAGTTGAGTCCATAAAACCACATCCATGGAGGTAGCGCCTGTCAACTCGACTGATTTTTTGCTGGTTAGTGCATTCATGTTTTGATCAAAGGGTTGGACGAAGAGTTCTACAAGGTAGGCGGTCATCTGGCATGCGGGGTACGTATACCAACTCCAAAGTTTTCTAGGCAACCGAAGTTCCAAGCACCATCTCAATGATAAATCACGTGGTAAAGGTTAAGATTGGGGGTACATACACTTTAGAGAAACAGAAATCAATGGAAGGGTGTTTGAATGAGGGATAAATCAATGGGTCATGGAATCAGGTAAATGATCTCAGTGTCAGACAGACTTGTGAGACCGGATGTTTCGTAGGCCAGTTCAAGTTCAGAGGTCTCACAAGTTTCTTTTGGATGCAAAGTTGTGGACCCAGCAGTCAGATTCCAATCGCCTCTGCAGCCGAGTATGTCGTATCAACAAAGTTTTTAAGCCTTTTGATGATTAGTTCAGCAACCGAGTCACCTTTGAATGGAAGCTTAATGTAGACGGGTTCCTTCCCGACAGAACATTATGTAGGTTTTGGCTTAACGGCTTCTAATCTGTGTTTGAGCTTCAACTCCAGCCCCACCATCAAATTTCGCCTGAAGGACGAATTGCCACGTTCTACCACCAACTTTTGTGTGTACTCATTCGTACGATCGTGCTGAGCATCATATTTTGGTCGTACGATAAGGCATTTGTCGGATAGAATGCGAGGACACAATCCCGTATCTCTGAGTGGTGGCTCAAGTGCAATCGCATCACATTTGCCTGAAACCAGTCACGTCATAGACAAGGAGCAAGCCCTCGCTACCATACACCGGGTACCTTTGAACCGATCACGACTGGTACGATCCAGACTATTATCGATCGCAGAGGCGATTAGAATCCGACTGCTGGGTCCACAACTTTGCATCCAAAAGAAACTTGTGAGACCTCTGAACTTGAACTGGCCTACGAAACATCCGGTCTCACAAGTCTGTCTGACATTGATGTCATTTACCTGATTCCGTGACCCATTGATTTATCCCTCATTCAAACCCCCTTCCATTGATTTCTGTTTCTCTAAAGTGTATGTACTCCCAATCTTAACCTTTACCACGTGATTTTTGTTACCATATAAATTTGTGATGTATAAGCCAAGAGGAACAATCACAAAAAAAAGCTTTGTTCGCTACTTCCTTCGATCTCATGACTATCACGGGTATATTCAGCCACTTGAGACAATCCAAAGACCCAGGCGTGCTAAAGGAACTTCAGAGATATCTGAGTTACAGCGCGAAACTTGCGGAAGCTAGAACAAAGCTACCAATCCTCAATATCAGCGTATGGAAGAATCAGTTTTCAACGTTTTATTCACGAATACTACGCGGGAACCGAATCAATCCAACTACACTAAGCCGCCACGCACGCAATGAATATTCGGGAACTAGAAGGTAAACAAGCCCGACATGCAGAGGCACTAGAAACGCTGATGATATTCAATCGCTTAGACTTCAACGCATATGTTCGAACCATAGGAACAGTGTTGCAATTAGGCTGGGGCAAAAAACAGGTTTCCTTGACGTGATGTGCCTTTGAGTGAAGTTGTTGCCCAGAGGCACCGTCTGGGAAATTCCCACTCAATCTTGATGCACCGTGGATGTCACAGTCTTTTTGAAGCTGGCATGCCAGGCACTATCACTACTGCCAGATGGTCTTGGAAAGAAAGAGCTCTCCCATGGTAGATGAATCACTCACTCTTCATGGGTTACGCTAGTCAGGACATGTACTGGGCATAGCAGAAGACCATCTACCTCACGAAGCTCTTTTCGCCCAGCCTTGTGCTAAGTGGAAGCGACCGAGAGGTGGACAGTGTGTGACCTGGAAACGAAGTATGAAAACACTAACCAGTAAACGTAGTGGGGTGGACAACTGCCGCCTCCATGAATGGAGATCCCAGGACTCCATTCACTGATCGTTAATGACATTGGCAGAAACGGTCCAGTCGCGCAGTCAGTGGCGCTCATGAATCAAAGCTATCACGTTCAAAGCTGCGCCGAACTGACTGAACACGCCATCGCCTTCAGTACTTTGTTGTTTCTCCCATAGTCTCTCACTTCCCGGTGATCGAAACTGTAGCTTATTAGTGCACAGGTGATGATAGCCATGCTAGCAGTCGATTTATGAGTGAGTTGAGCTGGCCTCAAGCGTTATTTCGACCAACTTTCTACCCAACCCGAACTGAGAGTTCCTACGTTATAGTCAGAATGTCTGTTGACAGACAAAGATTTCTAGTGATCTTGCCCCTGGTCAATAGAAATCAAAGGTCATAGGAACTGATTCTATTGCATACACTGATTGAGGATTCGTAGCTTTGTCCCGTCTTCCGCAAGTTTCGCGCTGTATACGACTGCTACGCGTGTTCTATAGTTATCCGTGGCCTTGAAGTGTTTGGCTGACTCCTTGATCCCTGCGTGCGCACGAGTCTGTGTGTTGACTGTGTTCGGTTTCCCTATATGTAGGTCCGTTTGGGTGTACGTGGGTGTGTCAGCACATGAGTTGTTGCTACG